AATTTGTTGGTATATAGTTGCTTGTAGTATTTTCTTAAAATATTTTGTATTTCTGTGGTGTCTGTTGTCACTTCTCCTCTTTCATTTCTGATTTTATTAATTGGTGAATCTGGATAAAGGTTTGTCAGTTTTGTTTATCTTCTCAAAAAACCAGCTCTTAGTTTCATTGATCTTTTGTATTGTTTTCCTGGTCTCTATTTCGTTTATTTCTGTTCTGGTCTTTATTATTTCCTTCCTTGTGCTCCCTTTGAGCTTATTTTGCTGTTCTTTTTCCAGTTCCCTTAGGTGTAAGGATAAACTGTTGATTTGAGATTTTTTTCTTGTTTCTTTAGGTAGGCCTGCATCGCCATGAATTTCCCTTTTAGGACTGCTTTCACTGCATCCCAGCGATTTTGAGTTGTGTTTTCATTGTCATTTGTCTTGAGATAGCTTTTGATTTCCTCCTTGATCTCATTTTTGACCCACTCGCTATTTAGTAGCATGTTATTCAGCCTCCATGTGTTTGTGTGTTTTCTAGTTTTTTTTCTTCTAATTTATTTCTAATTTCATAGCACTGTTATCAGAGAAGACGCTTGATATGATTTCAGTTTTCTTACATTTACTGAGACTTGTTTTGTGGCCTAACATGTGGTCTATCTTGGGAAATGTTCTGTGTGCACTTGAGAAGAATGTATATTCTGCAGCTTTGGGGTGAAATGCTCTAAAAATATCGATTAAATCCAACTGGTCTAATGTGTCATTTAAGGCCACTGTTTCCATATTGATTATCTGTCTGGAGGATCTGTCCCTTGTTGTCAGTGGTGTGTTGAAGTCCCCTACTATGATAGTGTTTCTGTTGATCTCTGTCTTTATGTTGGTCAATATCTGTTTTATATATCTAAGTGCTCCTGTATTGGGTGCATAGATGTTTACTAGGGTTATGTTCTCTTGTTGGATCAATCCCTTTATTATTATGTAGTACCCTTCTTTGTCTTTTATTATATTCTTCATTTTAAAGTCTATTTTGTCAGACATAAGTATTGTTACTCCAGATTTTTTCTCATTTCCATCTTACTCCATCCCTTTACTTTTAGCCGTGTGTGTCTTTTGATCTCAGGTGAGTCTCTTGTATACAGCATATGCAAGGGTGTTGTTTTCTCATCCACTCAGCCATCCAATGTCTTGATTAGAGTATTTAATCCATTTACATTTAAAGCAATTATTGATAGGTATATTGTTGCTTTGTTATTTATATTTCTGATCTTTATTACTTAGCTTGTTTTCATCTTTATTCTGCTTAAAGAAGCCCTTTTAACATTTCCTGCAATGCTGGTTTGGTGGTAATGAATTCCTTTAGCTTATTCTTTTCTGGGAAGCTCTTTATCTCTCCTTCAATTTTAAATGAAAGCCTTGCTGGATAAAGCAATCTAGGCTGTAGGCCTGTTTTTCATCACTTTGAATACCTCCTGCCACTCCCTTCTGGCTTCCAGTTTCTGTAGAAAAGTCAGCTGATAATCTTATGTGAGCACCCTTGTAAGTAACTCGCTGTCTGTCTCTTGCTGCTTTTAGGATTTTCTCTTTGTCTTTAACCTTTGCCATTTTAACTAGAATGTGTCTTGGTGTGGACCTGTTTGGGTTCTGCTTGTTTGGAACTCTCTGTACTTATTGAGCTTGTATGTCGATTTCCTTCACCAGGTTAGGAAAATTGTCAGTCATTATTTCTTCAAATATGTTCTCTATCCCTTGCTCTCTTTCTTCTCCTTCTGGTATTCCTATGATGTGCATGTTGTTGCGCTTGCTATTATCCCACAGGTCTCTTAAATTATTTTTATTGTTTTTTATTCTTTTTTCTTTTTGTTGTTCCAATTGGGTGATCTCTGCTTTCTTGTCTTCTAAATCGCTGATTCAATCCTCTGCTTCATCTAATCTGCTGGTAACTCCTTTGAGTGTGCTTTTTATTTCAGTTATTGTATTCTTTAGTTCTAACTGGTTGTTTTTTATGATTTCTCTATCCTTGTTTATGTTCTCACTAAGTTCCTTAAACGTTCTCATCATCAGTGTTCTAAACTCTGTCTCTGATAGATTGGTTACCTCTATTTCATTTAGTTCCAATTCTGGAGGTTTTTTTCTGTTCTTTTATTTGGGACATGTTTTTTTGTTTCCTCATTCTGGCTGACACTGTGTTTGCTTCGATGTATTAGGTATATCCCCTAAGTCTCTCAGTCTTTGCTGGGTGGCCTTATGTAGTATGTGTCCTTTATATTTGAATTGCACAATCTCCCTATTCACACATGTATTATTTTGACAATCAGACTATATAACCTTTTCAAAGATGAGCATTTTGTGTTTTGCTCTTTTAGTATCCCTCGTTATTTCTAAGACAGTACTAAACAAATCATAGACTTATTAACTCCCTGTTTATTCTCCACTGATTCTAAGCTTTATTTACATGGTTGAACTAGAACACATAAAATGTATTTCCATAAAAATAATAAATGTTTACTTTGTATATTACTGTATTACTTTACTGATAGGTCACTCTTTCAGTGACTTCATCATCCAAGAACAGTTTCACAACTGAGAGGCCTCTAATTGCAAAAGTAGCTACCACAACACCTAAGTATGTCACCTTTAAAAGAAACATGGAGACACCTTCAGCCCTCACTCAGAGGTTATTAACCAATGCGTATGTATAAAATAAATATCTGATTATAAACTTGGTTATCAATTGATTAAAATAAAGCTTCTGTTTTTACAAGCTTAGTTATCAATAAATTTAAAATGAGGCAAGGAATATTGCTAAAAGCAAATGTGCCAAGAACAATTAAGAATGACCTAAGTACCATAAAGCAAAACAGTACAGCAGACTAGGGGTCATTTAACGTAAAGATAAATTGCCCAATAAAACTCCAGAATACCCAAAGGCATCCATTTCTAAACACGATTCAATAACTGATCTTCATGCTGTTGTACTTAATCATCAAAGAAAGGTCAATTTTTAATAATAAACCCTGGCTAATGAGGCATTCAATATTACATACACCTTAAGAAATTTTCATTTCAAAAAGTTGTAATAAAGTATCAACGTTTAAAGGAATAAGTTTAACCTATTAAGTAACTTGTACTTAAATTAAGCCTTCTATATTTAAGACACATTTTGCTTCCAATTTTTTTCTTTAAAATATAAGCAACACTTAAAGTGAAATTTAACATATAAGGAATATATGGAATTTAAACGTGTGAACTCACATGACATACACAGACATGAGAACACCCATAAACACTTATCTATTAAACATGTAAGTAACCTCAAGGGACTTGTCAAGACTGAGCAGGTATAGAAAAGGGGCAGTCCTAAGGAGATAAAACTAATCCTCAACTAACCATTCCTGACCTTCCCTGGCAGCCACCCAAGACACCAAATGGACTTACAGGGATTACATATGATGAGCTCTGAAAGCACACTGAGAAGAACAAACTTCCAATATGGCAGAATATAATCAAAGAATTAACAAACACAGAGTCACAAAATAGAAAGTGCTAATCAGAAAAACTAACATATAAGAATCTGAAATCATAGCATAGTTAGAGCCATATTAATTTTAGCAATCGTTCACTAAATGATGCACGCAGTCCAGTAGGTTTAAGAAGTAGAGATAATTTTGTAAGTGTTTAAAAAAAATAGACTCAAAATGCAGCTCTGCCAACAGAGAAGCTTAGATACAATTGCCTTCTTCTTGGCTTCCAAGGCCTCAAGCCACCAGGCCTCACCCCACTGCTTGCCATTTTCAGGACCCCTGGGCATCTTCGTGCCTGTGCCTCTGCTGACAGCCCTACTAGAGTTCTCTCCTCATCTCCCCACATCCATCCTCATCTTATTCCTCTTTCAGAGTCCAGCCCAAGTCTCATCTTCTCCAGCAAATCTTTCCTGGCCATGCCAGATCCAAGTAATCTACCTCTTATGTAACTTCCAAGACAATTTAGCTTTTACTATACATCTTGGCCCTTAATTACAACCTTGGAGTTCTTTCACATGCATTGGTTTCTGTCCCCCACCCTAGTCCAATCATCCGAAGACTCCCAGAAACAAAAACACAGGTTTACTGACCCACTGCAGTGAGGGACAACACACACCAGAGGAACTGTGGGGCACCCACAAATGCCCACAAGCCAGACAGCAGACTCCGTAAAGGCCAAAACCATATCTATGTTTGTTCATGAATAAATAAAGTAAAGGAGGTATTGGATTTGAGGGAAGAGTTTTGGTAGAATTGAAATGAAGAAGATCAAACACAGCAGCACTGTATGTAAAGAGATCAACGTCAAGTCTCAACGGTGAAGTCGAATCAGTGTCGTTTCCTTGAAAACAGGACAGTTAGCATAGCTGTAGACTGCTGTGTCCAGAAACCCCTTATTCGAAGCTCTGCATCTGAGCTGTAAATTGAGGCTGCTTCTTTGTGTCAAAGCAGCTTGGATCATCCAGGCAGGAGGGGGATGTTTTCTCTCACTGACAGAATTTCAAACAGCAAAGTTTCTGATAGTCTGTGATTCTCGAGAACAAAGCTTCTCAGTGAGCAAGAACGCAGGAGTCATTCACAGTAGGAGGTTAGGATACTTTACGCTGCAGCATGTCCCTGGGAAAAATGCCTGTTGATTTTTAAGCTAGTTTTACCTGTATCTGTTTTTCCAGCTGATGAACGGCAGGGCAGATGTTTACGGTCCAAGATCATTTTTAATTTTTCATTCCTCAGCAAGCCAAACAGCAGACTCCTTAAAGGCCCCAACCGTTTTCTCTATTTGTTTGCATCCTGGATGACACTGAGCACAGTGCTGAGCACACAGCAGGTGCTATATAAAGGCTGTTTGACATATGGTTGATGGATAATGGACTTTTAAGCAACCAAAGCTACAGAAAACGGGTTATAATTATAAAGCTAAATAGCCTTGCAAACTTTTTTTAAGTAGTCTACGTAGGGGGAAAAGAAAAAAAAAAGGTAGTAAGAGGGAGATACATTTCTTACCTACAACACCAAAAGCAGAAACAGCTCGAAATAGCCCAGAGGAACCTTTCTGTCCCATCTTTGTTCTATTTCCTAGATCCAAGCGGCCAAGAAGTTCTCTCACTTCTTGTGGAGAATACACATGCTAAAAATAAGCAAATTTAACCTGTAAGGTTGTGCTTACTTTTTAGATTGATTATTTATTCTTTATTCCTGAAAATTAAAAGTTGCCTACAAAAATCATTAGTTATTTCACAGGTAAGTATATAACAGTGCAGGACTACGCTACAATTTTTAAAAGCCAACAAATTCTTTAATATCAGCAATTAAGAGTGCTTACTGAAGCATGTTGCTATACCATAAAACTGTATCAAACCTTATCTCCTGAACCAGAGATTTAAGGGATCCACAAATTTTGAGAAATCTATAAACCCCTTAAAATTATAGGCAAAGTTTTTGTTATATGTGCATTTTTATAAGAAGGCCCATAGCTTTTCTTAGATTCTCAAAAAGAGCCCTGATCTGATCAACCACTCCCACCACCAAATAAATTATTACATTATATTAATAAAAACTCCCAGATTTGGGGGGTGAGGGGAACCACTATACCCAGGAGCGTAGGAAATCACAAAATAAAATTTATCTAAAATTATTATAACACAAAAAATGGTTTTGCAAGAGCTTAGTGAAAATTGGTTCCAAACTGTAGCTACTAATATATTTGAAAAACCAGGAATTTACATGATTTCAGAAATACTCACAGACAGGAACAAAGGATAAGTTAGGTTCTCTCATTTGAAAGAGTTAAAATTAATGGCTCAACACCACCATGTTGTATTTCTCTTTTGACTAACAGCCTCATGGTTTTGTGCCACCTGAATTAAGTCTCATATTCCTGACTCTGGATAATATAACATCTGGATAAGAACAATTTTATCATTTTTCTAGTGCACAGAAAGTTATTAGGAGAGGTCGTACAGGTGATTTTTAGCAAAATAATAAAGTCTGCGGTAGAGAAGTCCTTTCTGATTTCAAGTAACTTCATATTAAAACGTAGTCATAAATACTCTCTTTGGTAGATGAAATGTTAAAAGTTGTACTGAATTATTAAAATGTCACCTTTAAGAAAATACATTCTTATGCAAAAAGTTTGCTTTGTAAAACAAATCAAAATGAGAACAAAATGTCATTCTGGCATAATACCTGACATCAGTAATTTCTAGAAACCACATTAGATATTCAAATTCCAGCCAATCATGAAAAATAATTGTAATTGTTAGATGCATGATAAATAAATTATATATCACTAGAAGATGTAAGGATATTCCATATTCTTTAAACAAGTACAAAAGTTTATGTTTGTATCCAGGTTTGCAAGATACTTACCTTATCATCAATTATGACCAAATCTTTTGGTTCTGTTCTATCAATTTTCAAAACACGGTATTTTGTTTCTGCATGATTGCTCCCAACCAGAAAGTATCTCTATAAATAAAAAGGAATGTCATTAGTTTTTTAAGACATTTTGCCTTAAACACATTTAATAATCACTTCAGTTTTTGAAATAAATACATTAATAAAGTCAGGTTAATTTTTAAAAGAAATATTTCTGTTAAGCATAACTGGCAGATTAAAAGAAGGGCTGATTCAAAAGGTCAACTTGAACATTGAAATATTCTTAGTGGTTTCATGATAAGTATCAGTCTGATATCTGAAACGTACTCAATAACCAGGTCAGATGAATTTAATTATATTATATAGTGATTAACATAACTGTTTAGAGACTGATGTTTAAACTTTGCCAGGAAGGAGCAGCTCTGGTAAGAATTAGAAAGCTCATCATATAATTAGAAATGCCCAATTATCACTACTAAAATATTGATATTTTATCAAATAAATCTTTACACATTTTCTATAGAGGACTGAAAATGACTTTGATATAGCAATATAAAAATCCACCCCGAAGTGCTATAAAAGTTTAAAATGAGTGTACTTTCCCAAATGGCTTTTTATAGATAAACTGCAAGAAATAATAGTCATTATTTTCTGAAAGAAACACTTCCTTGGAGCATTATACCTCAACATATTAGTCTTCTTATATGAATACTGAGAATAAAATGGATAATAAAACTGTAGAAAAATAATCATCTTATACTTAAATGAAAATGTATTTAAGAAAACCTAAACAAGATAAATCATTTTAAAATTGCATTTAAGAAAATAAATAAAACTCCATTAGTAAAAATAAACTATTTAAAGATATTTTCCTTCAGAAATGTCCTTTAAAAGTGGCACATTTTCAACATTGCAAAAACTGAGAACACATTGCCACAATCAACTGGCATCTTACCATCTCACTGGTCAGATGAGATAGAGATACACAAAGCAATTAAGTCAAATTCTCTAGATTAATAGCCAAACTGCAGTATGTAGACCATAGCAATTCAGAGCAGGAAAGATTAATGTGGATCACGATCGATGCAGAGAATGTCAGTGGAGTCAGAACCTAAATTGAGCCTTAAAGGATGGGTAAGATTTTAATAACTAAGATTTTACTATGTATCAGAACATAAGCACTTGGTTATATTGTTTTAACACTAAAATCTGTAGAAATGATGAGTTTTTTATTAAGTATATATATTGTTAGTAAAGGTCTGATCTAGACTTCCAGGTTATAAAGAACAAAACTATATGTTAAAAGATGCTGGGTTAGCCCTATCTCAAGAGGAAGGCTAACCAAAACACTGAATCCCTCACCTCCTAGAAGAGATAGAGTCTGGATGACACTACCAGTTATAATGAGGTGGGAGAAAAGCAACTGTAATAAAAACTAGTAAACTACCTCGAGACATCCCGTCACATCAAGTGACCAGGACTTGATGCACTGGGGGTAGAAAGGCAGGGAGACAGAGAGACGGAGGAGATCCAAATTCTCAGCCCGGCCTCGCTCATTTCCTCCCAGAAACCCCGCCCAGAGGAGAGGGGTAACCGCGTCATAAGATTAACTTCAGAAGAATGGTTTGCAAACTATACATGTTAGCAGAAAAGGGAGCCCCCTTCTTGATGCTCTGAGGAAAAGCAGTTCCTGGGAGAGGAAATAGCGAGTGCAAAGACATGCAAGAGGAAGAAACTTGGTGTTTTTGTTAGAGGAACAAGATTCCAGGTAAGTGAGAAACTGCTCATAGATCACCTAACACAAGGAATAGTGTTCAACACAGACAGCACTCAATGAGCATTAGTTTCTTTTCTCTCCTATAGTTTGTAAGATATCAGCGAGTTTATGCCATTGAATTTGAGAAAAAAGACAGGGGGGAAAAAACAGGAAAAAAAGTGTACCTCAGAGGAAGAAAAGCATGAATAAGACCAGAATGGAACCAGAAAATGGAAGAATGTACAAATCTGTTAGTATTCAGTCCTTGTTCTCAGGAGAGAAGAGCATGCAAATCAACAACCATGAGTCGAGCGGGCTATAATAGAGGTATGAACTGGATGCAATGACAACTTGACAGGAGGGCACCTAATCCATTTGGGGAGGGTCAGAGCAAGCGATCCAAAGAGGCTGGTGTTGCCCTGATGTTGAGTTTAGTCTTGAAGGACCTCTAAACAGGACTCGGTATACTGAGCCAAGATAGGACAAGTGATACCCACCATGTCCACCTGTAACAATCCTCTCTCATCACCTGCCCCCACCAAAGCACTTTTATTGATATCTAAAGTTAGCACTTACTTCTGAAGGCCTTGTCTAAATTTTTTGGGGGCATGTCTGTCCCCTTCACCTAATTATAAGCGGCTCTGGAGACTGGGGCTAACACCCTAACCTCTGTGGTTTTTAATTCTAACCTAGTTGCACAGTTTGGTTCCACAGGCATTGGGTAAATGTTAGGTGAAAGAACACTGTCCACCACAGATTAATCATTTAATTTGCTGGGTAACTTTCTACAACATCTGCATGAGCCATCTTTTTTGGGTAGGCACACAGAAAGATGGCTCTTTTAGTCAACCACTCAGTAAGGAGGAACATCACAGCTTTATGGGAGGTAAATTCCATGAAATTCCTAGAATTTTAATAGATCCTAGGAAATCTGAAGATTAATTGTAGTAGGGCTATGATTTGGCAGTTCGTAATAAAAAAAAACCAGATCTAATTCCTGAGAGTTGAGCTTTTAGTGGGCAAATGCAGTATTGGCCCTTGGAGCAGAAACACAGGAGGGGAGACCTACACCTCCCATTTCCAGGCCCCTCCAAAGCCTCTGGAAGCAGGGGAACCAAAGCTAAAATCCACAGAATTTTGAAGCAGACCTCAGTGGGGAGAAAGAAACAGGAAGTGGCATAAATACCTACATTTTTCTCTCTTCTAAAGTGGTCTAAGAATCCTACCAATGTTTTGTGCAGAGAACAGTGACTTTATATGAAGCCAGTTATATGGGAAAGAAAACCACAGCTCTCAGCTGGTCTGCTCTGGATAGAACCACTCTCCTGCACTGCCCTCTGGTGGGCACTTGACCATCGACTTTCACACCAAATTTTTAAAAGAGGTAGTAACTTCCCCAAAGGCCTTATTTCTACTCGGTTTTATTTCCTTCCTATTAAATGTATCAACTCTATAACTAGGCATGTATATCCTTAGACTTTGTTACATTACAACCCACTTGCATTTGGGGGCTTAAAAACTGTCCTGAAATATCTTTTACTTAAATTCTTCTCCACCGCTGATTTTTTTATATTTGTTTTATTTTGAAAAGTTTTCCAACCTACAGTAAGGTTAACAGAATATACAATGAAAACCCATACGCCTTTGACCTAGATTCACCAGTTGTTAACATTTTCCTACATTTGTTTATTCTCTTCCTCTCTGTAGAGATAAGCTTTTTTTCTTCTGAACCATTTGAAAATGAGCTGCAGGATCATAACACATCACCCCTAAAAACCTCAACTTGTATTTCCTAAAAATAAGGACATCCTCCCATATAATCATAATACCATTAATACAATATTATCTATATACAATCCATATTTAAATTTCCCCAACTGTCCCTATAATATCCTTTATACCTGGCTCTTTAGAAACCAGAATCCAATCACCGATCATGCATGATGTTTGGTTACCAAGTACCATGTCTTTTTAAAAATCTTTTAATCTAGAATAGTCCCCCTGCCTTTGTCTTGCATGACTCCAACATGCTTAAGGGAGCCACAATTTTTACACCAATTTTCCTGGTTTTCTATTGACATCATTCATTTGACCTTTTACAAATGAATGTCCCATATGTGCCAGCCACTGGACTAGTCACCTCAGGGAAGAGATACATTGAAGATATATTTTGGAGATAAAACTCCCTGATGGATTAGATCAGAAAAGGGAGTACTTAATGGATCCAATTACTTTTGTTTGAGTAACCAGCCTAGATGGGGGTATCCCCTTACTGATGTAGGGAGGGCTGAAGAAGAAATGGGTTTGAGGGAAAATAAGAGTTCTGTTTACAACATGAGCAAAGAGATCAAATGTGAACTTTGTATGAGCCTGGAGCTCAAAGGAGAAATCTCAGTGGGTGTCACTGGTACATACACGGCATTTAAAGTCAAGGGACTGGCTTAAATCTACTAGGGAGAATGAAGATGGACACAGAGCCCCCAAAATAGGCTGAGGCACTTCATCATTTAGAGGCTGGAGAAGGAACCAGCTGAGAAGACTGAGAGGAAGAGCCAGTGATTGGGAAAAACCCCAAGACAACACAGAGTCATCAAAGCAAAGGGAGGAGATCATTTGGAAAAGGAGGGAGCAGTCACACCCGCATCAAATGCAGCTGAGACATCAAGTGAGATGAGGAGAGAGAAGTGCCCAAAGGATCTGACAACTGAAACTTGCGAGTGGCCTTTCCGTGGGCAGTCTCAGAGCGGATGTAAGGGCAAGAACCATGACAGAGCTGGTTGAAGGGCAAATGGGTAGTCTTCTAGGTAAAGATGGAAGAGTGACCACCTCTGCTCCTCCCAAAACACTTCACTAAAACTACAATGAGGTGTTTTCATGCCCCAAGATCAAAAGAAAGCATGAAGGAGGTAGCAGCAAAAAAATGATTTAAAACTAAATCATGCCCAAGAAAGCGGAATCCTACGCTGGCGATGGGAAAGTCCAGAAGCAATCTAGTTTACACCACAAAACCTCCAAAAGGCGTGGAAATGTGTGGCCTCTCTTATCTCTGGAGGTAGAAATGTAAAATTTCAGAAAACTGAAGATGCAAATAAGATAGATAGAATAAGCTTCTATAGAAGAAAAATACAGGCTTGAAACTAAAGATCAAGAATAGAATAACATTAGAAATCCTCAGCAGCAACACCAGAAGGTGGAAGCCGGGGCCATAATCAATACCTTCAAAGTTTGAAGAGAAAATTAATTTCAATCTTTAACGTTAAACTTATCAATCAAACATGAGGATAGGATAAGGACATTTTCAGACATGCCACGGGCTCAAAAAAATTTACTGTCC